CTGGTTATCGATTCTTTTGCCTAAGTGCGGCCAAATTAATTACAAACTGTCCAAGACAACAGAAGACTAGTAAATAGAGGTAATAAATTGAAATTGAATTAGCTTTTTATTTTATTATTTTGGGAAGGGAGTAGGAATAGAGCGTTGGATATATTTATATACATCTGAGTGTTTTAAATAAGCTCTCTGGTTGCAGTAATTGAAGAGGACGAAGTTTTGAATGCACGTCATGCATGGGTAGTGTAGGCCCATAAATTTTTCTCCTTATTTTTTTTAATAATTAAATTCAAAATATTCAACTGCCTATATAAAATGCCCTCGAACCAGTTTGGCCTACACAAATATAACCATATCGTACGTACAAATATAACTACCTGATGTTAGAATTGCCAGACAAAGGGGATATAAACTGGTTGCTGGAGAAGCGAGAGCTAGCTGTGTCTTATTGCATGGAATCTCAGGAACCTTTTAGAAAAAGAAAGCGTCAAGAATTATTAGCAAATGATGATCAGCTCGTCGAATCCGAACCACACAACCTAGCTACAGCTTCTTCCTTTGATCAGAAGGTAAAGATCTATATAATTGATGTTATATGATTATTTGTTGATGTTATAACTTTTCTTCTTCTTTTTTTATGTAAAAGTTGATATTATAACTTGATAGAAGATTTAATGTCAAAAGGTCTTTGAGTAAAGATTCTGTCCAAATTCTTTTTCAGACATATATGTGATGTTATAAGAAGATTTTCTAAAAGAGTTAGGAGTCCCCGTTTGTACAAATGATCAAAAATATTTGTAAAAAACAATATTACGTCTATGAACATATATATTTTCGAATTATATTTTTTTATTATTAGGTCGTTGTATTCAAGAACGTGTTCGGGTACTTTTGTTGCAGAGAAGAAGATTAAGAGAAGGTTCAACATGTAGTAATAATAATAACATCGAAGAAGGATGTAATCACCACCGCATGAGACTAGATCTTGAACTCAACTTGTCACCATATCTTATCGATCTGAATCATGAGCATGACCATGATCTGAGTAATCACAGTAAAAATTGT